GAGTTGGAGGTTGCTGTGAGCTGTGAGGCCATGGCACTCTACCCAGGGGGATAGCTTGAGGCTCTGTCTCAAAAAAAAAAAAAGACTTTTATTCCATTCTAAACTTTGAATTAAAGCCAAATATTTAAAAACTTTTTAGAGAGATTTAGAGAAAGTTTTCTAAAAAATTAATAAAACATGAATTTATGTTTTAAGCTCCTATTTGAGAACTAATAATACTTTGTAGCAAGCTATGCTTCATTTGTTTTGACCTAACAGACAAAAAGTTCTGAAGTTTTTTTTATCACAATGCCAAACCCCGAGGTTCTGTGATATAGAAAAAACAGTAACACTGAAAATAGAGAAGAAATCGGGCCCCGGGACATAGGCGATCTGAAGGGAGGGTGAGCGGTCAGAGCAGCACGAGTACCTTACTGTCCAGTTTCTTCATGGTGACCAGGTCCAGGGACTTCAGTGAATGCCCTGTTGGGGCGATGAAGTAGAGACAGGCGTGGACCCTTGTGTCGTGGTAGTTGAACAGAGAACGCTTAATCTTCAATTCTTCCTGCAGGTAAGCCTCAAATTGGGCATCGATGTATTCCACGATCGGCTTATAGCTAGAATACAGGAACACATTTTCAAATCAGTGCATTTCTGGTCTCAAACCTTTCAAGGTTCAGGGTAGACAGTTCTCTACTAAATGTCATCGATAGTTCCCTCTTCCCCAAGGGCTAAAGCCCCAGTTCCTGGCAGTCTAGGGCCTTCCTTCACCTGGCCCCTGGACACCTCTCAGGCCCCTCCCTCCACTCCTCCCTGGCTCACCCTCCCTGTCTCAGCAGCGCACAACCACATTTAGTGCCCCCCTCCCATATGCCAAGCCCTTGTTTGCCTCTGTGTCTTGCTCTTGTTGGGACTGTCTACTGGGAGCTGTCTTCTCCCCACTGTTCTCCGGGCTAATGTTTATCCCATAGAACAGAGATCACCAACACGGAGCCCCTTCCCAGGTACCCAAGGGAGATGCTGCTAAGAGAATGTGGCATTTTTTCCTGCTAAGCCAAAACTGAGCTCCAAAATCCATCTCAATAAAGAAATTGTGACAGCCTCTCCCACCAAGTGATTGGTGCACAAAGTGAAACTTGGCTGTGGTTTCAGGATATGGTAATATTACTTACTAAGAGCTATGCCCCAATCTTCTGCCACGTCCTCCAGAGGGGATGCGCTCCCAGAAGCCCTGGGAACGCCTCATAACTTCATCTAGAAACTGAGGTGCCTGGACTTTAAGATTTTCAAGATTCCTTCTAATTTGAAAATTTTGTGATTCAGAGGTAAACTTTGTAACCCTCTCCTCTCCTCACCAAATCATGCATCTGTTTTGGAGAATTACGTGTGATTCTATTAACTCAGCATAAACAGTCACTAGTAACACATGGGGAATGTCTAGCTGGTAAAACAAACCCACGTTCTCCAGGGAACAGCGGGACACTGGGTCACTGTGGGGAACCCAGACCTCTTTCTGGTCCCCAAGGGGAGCACTCAGAAGTTTATTTTAGCAACAAAGAGACTGGTCTACTAGGAATACAATGAGTTAATTCTTCCTAAACTTACTATATTTCTGAGGAATGGTTTAAATTTTAGGAAGAAAAACTTTTCAACAACCCAAATCCCAGACTCAGAAATTAAACTGAAATCCTTGAAAGGGAACCACAAATCTTTTATAATCTTCTATAAATCTTTTATAATAAGGATGCCAGCAGACACCCTAACAGAAAAAAACAAACAAACAAAAAAACCAACAAATCTATGACCAAAATGAAAGCAAAAAGCTTTTTGATGTTATTTTTCTTTGGTGATTTTATCACAATCCATTGGTTCAATCTGAGTGGACAAAATCTCGAAAGTTTTGAAATGAAAAGGTTGGATACGCCTGAGCAATAATAAAGTTCTAAACTATCACAGGCATGAGCCAGTCATCAGAGTCTTCTGAACTTCCCAAAAGAACATTAACTATTACTATTATGATGAGATAGTTGTAGAGGCTGGGGGTTAGATACCCAGATTTAAGCCTGACTGCCTCAGACTGCAGGTAACATAGCTGCACCTGCACCGCTCAGGAGCTGCACGGCCTCCGGGAACCCACTAAACCTCTCTGTGCCTCAGTTTCCTCGGAAGTACAAAAAGAGTATCTCTATCAGAACTACTGCAACAAACAGATGAATAAGTGAGCCAAAATATATGTAAAGAACTGGCACAGAAAAAATAAGATAGAACTATTTCACAATACTATAATTAAAAACAAATACTATAAGAAAAGCAGGCCTGACTTTTTAAGAATACAAAAAAAAGAAAGGAGAGGGAGAGAGGAAGAAGGAAGGGAGGGAAGGTAGGAAGGAAAGAAAAGAAGAAAGAGAGAGAATAATTTACACTCACCCAGTTCCCTGCTGGTACCTGTTGAGCTACTGAGCTCACGCCCCGGCAGGGCAATGAACCAGCCCCTGATCCTTCACCACCCCAACATCCAGGCGGGTGCTTAGGGATTAGGGTCCTTCCCCAGCACCCTCTTTGCTCCAAGGCAAAGCTCACCTCCTTCCTCCCCAGTTGTGGATTTTTTTTTAGCTCTCGGTGCCTCCCCCTCTGAATGGGAGTCCAAATACATTTCAGCTTTCTACTAATTCCCCTTGTGGCCTCCGGGTTTGACTCTGATCCCCCAGGGACCATGGAGGCCACGCCGCTCCTCTGCAGAAAGGAGCACTTCCCGTGCTGGACAAGACATCCTCCATTCTCTCACCTTTCCTCCGCCTCCCTGGGTTAGAGTCCCAGCCAATCATTCAGTCTAACTTCTTTTCACTATGTGTGTATGGTCTCCTGGAAAAATCACAGTTATTCCTGTGTTTCCCTCACCATCTATCTGATAACATCCCAAAGGTTGAGTTACAGACCCATCCACTCAACTGCTTATGAGATAGTACAAATTGCTCTTCTAACTAACTACAGTAGAGCCTCTGTAAGCCGACCACACAAGGCTTATGTTAACAAACTGGTCAACATACGGAGGTGGTCACCATAAGGAACTAGGCCTACTGTCTGCGTGTCTGCTATATGAAAATTAGGTCAATTGAAGGAGGTGGTCAAGGTAGGGAGCTGGTCAACTATGGATGTTCTGCTGTATGTCCCAAACTCTTCATCCTGCCCCCAAACCACACCTCCCTATATCCCCTGGTGAACAGCAGCCAAGTCAGAAACCTGGATTCACCCTGGAGTCCCTGTCACCCTTACCTGGAGAATAATTTACCAAAACCACCACTTCGTATGTCAAAGATTCAATCACGCTGATGAAACCATTTCTTCTTAACAAGAATCAGGTTGGCCAAATAGTCTCACGCTCTCATCACAATCCTTTTAACAAATCCTCTGCCCCTTCCTCCAAACCCTTTCCACTTGGTTATCTACATTTATAGCCAGAAAGACAAGGAAACTTAATTCCAACTTTGCCTTTTGCTAGTTTCCATTTCTACAGAAAGGATACCCATTTATTTCCTGTTTGGCCAGTCCAAATTTCTCTGGCGTGTGGCCATATAAAGCAGAGGGAACAGGAGAGGACAAATCAAGTCTAGCCCTTAGAATGTTTCCACAGCACTGCCTCGTAAGGCACGAGATACTCCCTGCTACATACCAGTGGCTTCTCTCATACCTCCAGCCATTTAAGAAAACACAACAGAATGACAGGTCGACCCTAAAACTGATGGAGAAAGGCATTTTATACAATGTTTTCTATCTGTCCAACTTGCTCACTTGCCTTCAGGGACTGACTCCATTTTATATGGAACCACACTCTTTTCTCGCTTTTGGCCAAAGACAGTTTTCTCTCTCCCTCAACGACCTCCCCTAGAAACGTATTAAAATTCAGAACTTAAAGGCCAAACAGCTCGCTGCACTAGTAATTAGTAACTCTGATAAAGATTTGATAACTTTGAGAATTCTCTCTCAATGAATTTCAATTACCCTCGTTTCTTGAGGCTGACTATCATTAGAGTTGGTGATACGCCATCTATACATCTACAGCCCCCCTCACATCTCCCATAGGTGGGGCAAATTAATTATTCTACTTCTAACTGGACAGTAGAACCTGGTTTCCCTTTTTCTCCAGACCCTCTTTCTTCTTCACTGATGAGTTCGGGCAGCCAAAACAAGGATGCCCTTCAACAACAAAGAGTTAAACATGCTACTAAGCGGGACAGGAAACCTCCCCAGGTCTCTCTTCCTGCCCCTTCCAGCCTGCCTGGCTGGAGGCTGACATTAATGCAAGAATGCTGACAGTCCCAGGCCTCCATAAACAAACTGGGAGAAAAGCTTGCCTAATCCCCCAAAGTAAGTAAAAATAATCGTGGGTTTAGAGAAACAGCACATCCCTTCCCAAATGGTTACATATTGGTGCAAAAATGCATATCCCACTTCTGGTTTTTCTGAAGGAAGCAGAGCCTGTCCCAGTAACTATTTTTAAGTAACTCATTTGGCTTTACGGACAACAATGCCTCCCGGAGTAAGGCTATGTAGAGTTTCGAATACCACTTAAAGAGGTTATGCAATAGCTGTCAAGACATTTCAGAGGAAGAAAAATATTTGGTATCTAGGTTAGGTTAATATCACACTTCCTGTCTTCTAAATCTCCTTGGAAACTATTATTTGACCCAAATGAGTCAGATAATTTCTTAAAGAGGCTCCAGCTGCAAATGTGGACATCCACATTGTTCTAGCTACTTGCGGGCTCAGCACTGGTGAGTGCAAACCCCCAGCTGAGGGAAACCCGGGGTTAGCGCCCAGGCAATGCCTCTGAGCAGGAAAAGCACAGAGGAATCCCAGCAGCAGGGTGCCAGATGGGTGCAAGCCTGTGGGAAGGGGCCAAGGGACGCAGGACAATGTATTCTGTGACCCCGGCTCTCTACCCAGCCCCTACCATGCATCTGCACCCCCTCTCTTGTCCCTTGGGCTTTTTCTTCATTTACTGATTTACTGTACTTGGTATCACAAACAGCCTCAGGCAGTAACCGCCCTCGTTCCTCCTTACCCAGGACATTGTCCCCTGCCCTGACACAAGGCACAGATAACCCATTTTGACCAGATACAAAACAAAATCTTTCCCATTCTATCCAACAATTGCTCCTGTTATCACAGGACAGTGTCTATTAAAGAGCAATTAAAGTGCTCCGTTAGAGGAAATAAAGACCTCGGTGCTTAGGTAAGAATGAATTACATATTTCTCGGTCATTACTATGGTGCTCATAGTTATAGCAGGAAGAGTTAAATATCTCTAGGCAATACACATTTCCAGATAACAACAGTCAAGTTCCTCTTTTAAAAACACATGTATACAATATGTACAGTTTTGAGGAAAATGAAAAACCAAAATTCCTGGTACTAATGAAGTTTCTGAGCCCCAAGCAAACCTACTCTTACTGATTTAGTATTTACATTTACACACTGGGACTCAACACTTATGCCCAGAATGCTATCACTGCTCAAAAATGTCTGTGGAATCCTTATTCTAGAATCATTTGTGGATCTGGGACAGTTTGATTGATTGATTGAGGCTGCCATATAATGGTTTGATCATAGCACACTGTAAGCTCAAACTCCTGGGCTCAAGCAATCCTCCTGGCTTCTGAGTAGTGAGGACTCTAGCCACATGCCATGATGCCCAGCTCACTTTTTTATTCTTGTAGAGCTAGGGTCTTGCTGTGCTGCCCAGGCTGGTTGCCAGTTCCTGATCTCCAGAGATCCTCCCTTCTCGGCCTCCCAAGTGCTGGGATTACACAGGTGTAAACCACTGTACATGGCCAGAAGAGTTTTATTTTAACTTTTTAAAATTTCTTTTGAGATTGAACATAATATTTAAGTATTTGAAATTGAGACTGATGACTGGGATAGCTGATCTTGAGAAGAAGGTGAACAAAATCCTGGGCCTGAGGTTAACATATGAGTTGTATGCCAGGAAGTTTTAAGGATTAACAGCTTCCCTCAACTCAATTCAAACAGCAACTCACAATGAAGAATCAAACTTACTCGGCTTTGTAAATAAGGTCTGTATAATCAGCCATTGGTATTGGTGTTTTAGGAGCTACTAACACTTTTGCCAAAAGTCATCAAAATATAGGAAACCCCCCTTAGTAATTACTGCATACCTCTTCCAGACCTAACCTTTCACACAATCCTTCCTTAGCCCTCCACAGAACAGGACTGGATGAAGGTTCCTCCTGGAGGAGACCTGAGCAAATACCCAGTGTGATTCCCTTCAAGTTAAATATATTGCCAAGGTCCCACGGCTTGTCACTGGCAGAATCCAAACTGCAACGTGGATCTTCTAAATCCTGGCTGTGGCTTCTTGTGCAACTTAACATTGACTCGGGTTTTCATTCAAATCTGTGAGAATATGGGATCAAGTAAAAAAATCCCCATCTGCTTAGGGACTAGGAGAGTGCGGGAGATGCTTACTCCAGACTCCTTTTGTTTTCAATGCCTTCTTATTTTGCGATTAAAAAAACTGAAAGACACACCTCCCAGGCTCTCTTGCAGCTAGTATCTGGATGTGGTTTAGTTTCTGCCAAGCTGATGCAACCACATAAGACCTGGAAGCAGGGAGGGAGTAGCACAGGCAGAAGCCGCACTCGAGGACAAGGGCTCTTCTTACAAGCAAGAGTGAAGGCAGAAGCCCCGCTATGACCAGATGATTAGTTACCTGGGGCAGATCTGGTGGAGGTTCTAGAGACACCCCCCCCCCAGCATCATGGGTACCAAGCAGTAGAAGTCACCCATGGCAAAGGTCTCGGCTAAAACTCTTCTGTGGGGTGGCTGGACCTTTCTCTAGCCTGCTCTTCCTGGTGGGAAAACCTGATTCCAGGACTTCACTGGGAAATGCCACACACTGCCTTGTTCCCTCTAACAAATCCCTTTTCTGCTCACACTAGCTGCGATCAATCTTGTTGTCTTGATTGTGACCTCAAGGAAAATTTCTCAGAGGACAAGAACATCATATCTCTTAGGAGACAGAAGATCAAATTCCACAAATAGAGAACTTCAAAAATACTTAGTCTTTGAATTTACCTGGGATGGATCCTGCTATTTCCTCATCCATTTATATCCCCACAAAACTCCAAAACGTACCTGTCATCTTTATTTATCTGGTCTCCAAACCCCACGGTGTCAACGATGGTTAACTTCAGCCGGACGTTGCTTTCCTGAAGCTCATAACTTCTGGCTTTTAACCGGACACCTGGTTCATTGTGAGTAGCTGGGTCACTTTCAAATTTGGTGTTGAACAAAGTATCCATTAACGTGGATTTGCCAATGCCTGTCTCACCTACATAACCCCAGAGGAAAAATAAGAGAATGTGTCAGTTTCTCAGACATCAGTTCAATTCATCCGTAATGTTTTCATTAACTATATCTATAAAGTTAAAATAAAAAGTATCACCAGAAATCCCACCATGAAGAGGTAATTAGTTCTTTCTATGTATGATCCACGGACTACGGAGCTGGACATGCCTCAATAAATATCAGAAACTACTTAGCAGAATAGATTTTGAAATTAGAGATTCAGATGTCCTTTACTTCTGGATAGAAAAATAGTACCTGTAAGTTTGCAGTCAGTTTATTACAACACAGAGAGATTCTCTTTCTGTTGTAAATGTAAAACTATATTACTTACCTGGGGAAAAGAAAACTAATGCAGAATGTATTTCACTTGGGGAAGAGAGACTGATCCCATTTATGTTACTATGTTGTCCAAAGAATTACATTGTTTCAAACGGTGCTCCAGATGACCACACGAATTTACAGAGTGCTTACTTTGTGTCAGGCTGTAGCAAGAGCTCCCAGCACATTCAAACCCTGCGGCTGTCCCCATGTTGGTGCCGTTGCCTCCCAACACAACTCACAGTGAAGTAGGATGGAGTCTTTCTGGATTTGAACTTGGAGCCTTCTGTGGTTTGCTGCCAACTACGATGATTCATTCATAGAATAAAAGTGGTTCAAGTGTATTTGCCTTCCTCTTCAACCTTTCCCATTGTGTCCCCGATACACCTAATATCACAGAACTTCCTCTTTAGTCAGCCTTCATTCGGCCAGTATTTTTCCATTACCTACCACGTGCCAAGCTTTGTGGCAAATCCCGGGACTGCGATGATGAACTAGCCTGATCCAGTGTTCCTCCATATCTTAGAGTCTGGTCTAGACCACAACAAGACTCTAACTTAGTACTACAGGAACAATATTCTAAGTGTCTACCATAATCACTTTCTCCCATGAGCAAGCCCACACTTCACGCCCTGAAATCTTGCCAGTTGATCATGAGTTACTAGACCAGGGATGGGCTCCTGACCTGGAGGCAGCCATGGGGGCCTGACCATGTCACTGTCAGACAGAGCCCCATGCTGCAGGGCGGCCTGTCTGCCTAATCAGTATTTCTCCAAGGGTGGGAATGAGAGAGACACAATCTGCATGCAGTGTGATGGCACGAAAAAGAAAGGGAACACACCGAGGAGTAGACTGGCCGGGGCACGAGGCAGCAAGGCTGTGAGGGGACAGCCGCACCATGGACAGACTGTCCGCTGGGAACAGAGGAGGAGCCGGCAGACATGGTGGAGTATTGGACGCTCCCTTACATCAACACCCAAGCGCTTATGCAACAAGCACAGGTACGGGGATGAAATGGTCAATAAAAACAGACAACAGATGCTGCTGGAACCTCTGTAATATCCTGAATGTCATTCCAGCTCTCTGAGGTCTAGCTGTGTAGCAGCTGAGACTACTTGTCTTCCTTACTTTTCTGACTATTCTTGCAAAAAAACCATCCATAAAAGTAACACAAAGCAGTCTCTGTTCACTAACATAGTAGAATTTAAGAAGCTCAGGCTGGTCGTGGTGGCACTCACCTGTAATCCCAGCACTCTGGGAGGCTGAGGCGGGAGGACCCCTTGAGCTCAGGAGTTCAAGAGCATCCTAAGCAAGAGCGAGACCCCATCTCTACTAAAAATAGAAAAATGAGGCTCGGTGCCTATAGCTCACCCAGCTAAGGCACCAGCCACGTACACCTAAGGTGGCGGGTTCGAATCTCCAGCCCGGACCCGCCAAACAACAATGACGGCTGCAACCAAAAAATAGCCGGGCGTTGTGGCGGGCACCTGTGGTCCCAGCTACTTGGGAGGCGGAGGCAGGAGACTCACTTGAGCCCAGGAGTTGGAGGTTGCTGTGAGCTGTGATGCCATGGGACTCTACCCAGGGGGACAGCTTGAGGCTCTGTCTCAAAAAAAAAAAAAAAAAAAAAAAATAGAAAAATGAGCCAGGTGTTGTGGCAAGGGCCTGTAATCCCAGCTGAGGCAAGAGGATCACTTGAGCCCAGGGTTTGAGGTTGCTGTGAGCCAGGCTGACCCCACAGCACTCTATTGAGAGCGACAGAGACTCCATCTTAAAAAATAAATAAATAAATAACAAGCTCACAGTCCTAATTCATTGCTTAACAAATTAACACTGAATAAAACAAAGTTGCAACATAATGGATAAAAAACAGGGTCCTCTGATTCCATACTGAAAGTACTGAGTCATTTTAAGTGTGTGTTATATGTGTGATGTTCCCAAGTGCAGCCAACTTCTTTTTGAGATTTACCTATTTTGGGGACGTGGACAAAAGACAGAAGCAGAACTACCTTATAAATGCCTCTTCGTCATGTCCAAGTTCTGTCAGCAGAAAGGGACACATTTAACCTTCCTCTCTTACCCTGAGAACAGCAATAAAGACTCCACTGTACCTGGCAGGAATTCCAGGTTACCTGAACCCTACTGCAATTGCCATCTCATTTTACTAGGGTCAGAATTACTTAAGCATCTGTGAATCAGGAACACGATTTTTTTTTTTAAAGGTATGGTAATTTTACTTATCATTTACTCTAAGGTGGAAACGATGAACAATTAGCATTCCAGGCCATACTTAGAGCGCAGAGTTAATCAATGGGTTGAAAAAACCACTGTTCCTCCACATTTCAAAGTGCTTTGCTTTCCATTTCCAAGCTCTGTGCTTTTAGGGGTTGTAATTAGACACAGCGACTCCAGCAGCAATCTGATTCAGCCAAAGCAGTTCAGAGGGAAATGACAGCTTTGGGAATAAAAAGAATGATGGAACAAGAGGATTTTCAATGCATCAGCTTTTGAGAAGTCTCTCTAACCTTTGAAAGCAGGGCCCTGCCTACACTTTGGAAGACTCATGGCAGCAAAACTTTCTAACTGGGTGACTGAAAGCCTCCTAAGCATGGGTTTCAGTTCAAACCAAATGACGGTAACAGTATCCTCAGAAAATCTATGACTAACACTACTTTTGATTATTTCAAAACTCCCTCGCAGAGTGCCTGGCTCATAGCCAGCATTTGTTAAAAGTTAATTAAACAGAAAAATAAATGATCATAATGATGATTTCTACTGAGGCTTGCCACTTGGGTAGACTTTTCCGCGTCTGTTGTTTATTCTCCTGTGAAGCCATCTGCCCAGACGCCCAGGTGCTGCAGTAACCGGAGTCCACTCTTGAGGCCCAGTCTGTGGCTTCCTTTCTGCTGCTCCCGCCTGTGCTGGTGAACCTGATGCCTGTGTCACAGGGCAAAGCACACTTGCCTCTGCCCCTTATCTCAGACTTATGTAATCCACAAACTCGAAGGTGGACGGGGAAAGAAAGCCAAGACTACGGTATCAATTAGAAAGCAACTGCAGACTGATCAAGTGGTTGCCTTATGATTCAGCATCTCTTACTCTAATTGCCAAGACTGGCTACTGGATGAGTAATGGTGAGGGGCACCTGCCCACCTCTAAATATCCTAGATCTTATATTGTCGGATGGAGCCCAGATGATCAGAGAGCTACCTACCTAAGCTGTGCTGGTACAACTCCTCCCAGAGTCACCTTTGGTGAAACAGGCTTTGGTGTCACACAAGCCTGCATGAAGGCCTCGAAAGAATAACATGAAGCCCCAGACAACACACCAACTCATTGCAACAACTGAGGATGCCCAGGAGCCAGACCATTACGTCCACCACTCACCACATTTCTTTTCTGAAAAATCCATGGGAGACATTTTTACAGACTTCTGTTGTTTCACCTGCAGCATCTGTTTTGTTTTATTTGGTAGGTACCATAAATCCATCATGTTAATTTTAACTTTTTTAGCATATAATAAGTGCCCTAGAAATATCTGTTGAATGGTCACTGGATAGATTCCCGCCGTGTTCTGACCAGCAAGCTGGGAGACAGATGTTTTGCCTCATCCATCCATTATTCTGGGCTAGCCCGAGGGCAGGCTTTAAGTCCGGACTCTGTTCCTGGCTTCACCTTATCTTCTGGGTCAGTTTTATCTTTATTAACTTTGCCCCGTCAGCCACTTCATATCCTCTTTTGGAGGCACAAAGTGGGATAAAAATGTTTAAGATGTGATGGTAACATTTCACAATTTCTGTCGGCCCCTACGCTTGGCTACAAATGGCCTTCACCTGACCTGTTTTTCATTCCTTTTCCTTCTTCTCTCATCCCCTCAAAACAATTAAGGCTAAGTTATTTGTTAAAAAAAAAAATCTATTTTCAAAATACTTTGACTCTACTATTTAACTAGGTCCTCTTTAAAAGCAGAGAGGTTACAGACCCCATGAAGACCTGACACACAGCTGGATCAATGCGGAGGCTCCTGTGGAGTTGGCATCATTTTGGAAAATGAATAAGATACATTAATTTAAAATTTTAAAGTCTGAACACTAATTTAGACCTAATTTAGATTCTCTGGAAAAACACAGCATGAGTAAAACATAAAAGGCTTTATTTAAACTGAAGCTTTGGGAGTGGTTTGGAGTGTTGCAGGCAAGACGGGCAGCAGGCAAGATGAACTCCCGGGCATTCTGTGATCTGACTCAGCATCAGGATTCTCTCTGCACTAAAGAGAAAACTGCTCTTCCTCTCTAGGTCAGTGTTTGTCAACCCTTGTCATCTCCCAGCATACTTGGACCTACGGTTAAACTTCCACGGCACACTTAAATTATGTTGATCAAAACAAAGAGTTAAAAAAAAGAATATACTTACTGAGCTTTGAACTTCCTTCAAAAGTATTTTAATTAATGATCCTTAAAATTTTTCCAGCATACCTCAGATCCTCTCGCGGCACACCAGTGTGCCACGGCATGCTGGCTGAACATCACCACCCTAGCTATATTTATTCCCAGGACCAAGAGAGATGGCTTCAGTGTCTATGCTACCAGATGAGGCTCCTGACAGGATCATCTTCTGTCCTGATTTCTTTCTGTTTGCAACCTACAGGCTCTTGCCACAAAACAAAATAATTCTAAGACCTTTTGGCTAAGTTTTCCTTCCTGAGATCACAACATTTACTCAAATCCTCAATCTCTTTCATATTTATCACAAGAAAATAAAATCATGCTATAAATAGGACACATGTGCACATCGTGGGAAACACACCTACGGGCAACAGGAGGACCTGGGGGACAGGACCGAGGGTGCCCCTAAAGTTAAATGTGTCACCTCCCAAACAGCCAATGTTGGCCTCCAAAGGGCGACAGAAAGAACCTGGGCATCGGCTGTGCTGGCGACACGCAACTTGCAGTGAAGAAAGAGACGTGGGAGGTGGGGGGGGGGTGTCTCACTCGAAACCCAGCAAGACAAGAAGCACCTGGGTGATTGTGAGACCATTTGCACCTGCCTGGCGTGTCTTCCCCCAAGCCCAATCTCCTTCCTGATATCGTCCGCGCTCCATGGAGAACGCTTACATTTTAGAGCAGGCTGACCCCCATCTCCCACCCAGGCTGGGCCCATGGGCTGGTCCTGGTCTTCAGGGAGACCCAGGGCCTGTTCAGTGAGACGTGTCAGGGCTGGCTCCGTCCTCCCCCTGGGGCTGGGAAGAGGCACCACTGGGGGAGTCAGGCTGCCACCATAGGACAAAGCCTGGGAAGCCAAGCAGAAGTGAGCAAGGTCAAGGGCAGGACAGAGCCCTGAGGCCAGCTGCTCTCAATCACATAGCTCCTCTGCCACTGTGCAGTGTGTGTGAGGCGCTGGGGAGTCTTAACTGTTTAAACCAGATTTCTGAGATTCTCTGTGGAAAATTTCCTAACACAACAGTGGTCGGAGAGCAATGCAGTGATGCTGGCTTTGAAGACGGAGGAAAGGTTCCAAGAGCCAAGGAATGCAGGCGCCTCCAGAAGCTGGAAAGGGCCAGGAGATACCAGTCTCCCCAGAGCTCCCTGGAGGAACGAGGTCCTGCAGCCCCAGGTTGGACTCCTACCTACAGAGCTGGAAAGTAATACAGTGGTGCTGTTTTAGAACACCAAAAATAATTTCCTAATACAGAAGTGCAGGAAGTTTCTAAAAGGATCCCACTGTGTTATCTCTGTGAAATAAAAATGGGGCTGGGAGTTGAAAGGGAGGGAATTTTATAATGTTTTAAAGAATGAGCATATGTTAATTACTTTGAACAACTACTTTAGACATGTGTAAAATGGAACCAGAACAAACATCTAAGAATCACAGCCATTCTCACCCAGTGGGGACAGTCAGAAAAGCAGCCACGTTGCTGTCAGGCACATGGTGTGGCTGGTGAGAACCCCCACCCAGCATGGGAACTGCACTGGCTCAATGAGGAGCCAGCAGCCCCCGCTGCCCACCATGCATCCAGCTAAGCCTGGACCCCAGGGGAAGGCCCCATTGTGCAGGAGCCAGGCCGTGGCTCACAGACAGAGTCTGAAGCAGATTTTGGAGACAGGGCTCGGGAGGCACAGAAGAAAAGCCAGAATAGTAATTGGCCTAGGATTACAATTTCACGTACTTTTCAACTGCAAACCAACAAATTGCCAACAAATTGCTATGCTAATGATGAGCCACCCTGCTCTGCAGCCGGGCACTTCCCCAAAAGAAAAAAGACCCCTCATTCATGCTGCTCTGTAGAACTAGCTCCCAGTCAGCAGGCCCCTGCTGAATATTAAAAGGCTTCATGTAGGGGAGAGGGGCCAGCATGAGGGCTGCTGCTTTGGTCCGGATTCTCTCCCGTCCTTCTCCTGCCCAGAGCTTAGGACATCGTGCCAGGGGGCAAGCTGCTCTAGTGGGCCCGCCAAGCATGGCTTCCTACTAACAAAGGCCCAGCACAGAGGTTACATGCAACACAGTCCTCAAGAAGCAAGCGTTTCCAAAAGGAAAATACATGCCCTCCCACCGCCATAACCAAGTGGCTGAACCCACACCTTTCTGAGCGCACTTCAGGAAGTCAGTCTGACACATTCCGTCAAGCTTAGGAGAAGGATGGGCTGCTCAGCTAAGTACAGAATTTCTTTGGTCTGTTTCAAAGTGAAGTCTCAGAAAGACGTGCCCAGAGGACAACGGCACCAAAACAAGGCAGCCCCACACTTCCCCACTGCTCAGCCATTTACCAGGCACGACAGGGAGGGTGAAGGAACAGCCACCTCTGTTCCATGGACAGTTCTCCCTGAAACAGGAGATTTGTGTCTTGATTTTCTTCTTTTCCATCCTCCTCTTCTTAGTTTAAAATGGATGTGTCTAGAGAAATAAAGAAAACTACCAAGGCAGAGGCCTACACTGAAGTAGAATGTTTAAGGGACACAGGTAACAGATTCTGAGGATACGAATCCAACAGATTCTGAGGACACGAATCCAACAGACCTCTTTGTGCTTTTGCATCTATCAGGAGTCAACTAAGGTCAATTTTAGATCCCAACTTAAGCCAGAGATTAACTCAATAATTTAGGCAGAAAATTTACTTCAAATTTTAAATTATCTTTGGCACCAAAAGCAAAAGATTTTGACATTATAAATTTATGAAAGAAGGTATAGTAGCCACAATTATAAGAGGGACTTTACCCAACAAGTACAATCAATGTAACCTGGTTCTTTGTACCCTCGATGAATCCCTAACAATTAAAAAAAAAAAGTTAGAGTAGCTTTAGATTAGACTTGTTTTAGGCAGTATATCTTTAAGAAGACTTCAGGGAAGATTACCATTGCCGTATAGTGAAAAACGCCATAAACAAATTCTTGAAAGGCTTTTAAGCGTTCTTACCACGTACATCTAAGTTCCTTCTACAACTTCTACAGTCTTGTTAGGGTTTAGGTTCCTCCCCTCACCAAAAAACAAAGTAAGTGTTTTACGTGTAATAACATTAAACTGACCAGTTGCTTGACTGTGTAATAGAAATAAAAATAATAATTTTAGTAACACCACAAAATTTACAAAGCATTTACCCAAATACATGTACGATTCTCAGTCTTTACAAGCAAATGACATGTGCACAGCAGAGATTCTACCTTGTTTTACCAATAAGAAAGGGAGTAAAAATATAATTCTTTCACTGAAACTTGCCCCTCAGACAGTCACCTGCCGATATCTGAACAGCCCAGTCCCTGCTTGGCAGCAGGTGGGGGATCACTTACCAACACACAGGATGTTGAAGCAGAACCCTTGAGAAGTGGACTTGTTGACCAGCTGGTCGGGGAGACTGTCGAATCCAACATGGCCAGACAGGGACAAGTTCCGAAGCTCTTCACTCTGCAGGTTCAGAGGGAAACCATTTCAGATTCTCTGACTACGCCAGCTGGGGCCACACGTTCCACGCATGCCTTCTCCCTCCCTATCCTTCCGACACACATGGAGAAAGGAGGTTCCCCAAACACCCACAGCCTCCTTGGAGGCTACACAGCTAAGGGCACCTCGAAGCCACACTCTTCCCACTCTTTCCACAAAATCACAATCTCCCAGAGCAGACCCCACCAGGTCTTGGTCCAGGGAAATCTAATCTTCTAGAGGTGGCGATTTCAGATATGCATTAAGAGACCTTAAAAAATAAAAAACATTTCCGACCATTCTAATGGCTTCTATTACTCAAGAAAAACTTTCAAGGCCAGGCATGGTGGCTTGCCCCTGTAATCCTAGCACTCTGGGAGGACGAGGTGGACAGATCACCTGAGCTCAGAAGTTTGAGACCATCCTGAATAGTGAGGCCCTATTTCTACTAGAAATAGAAAAAATAGCTGGGCATAGAGGCAGGCATGAATAATCCCAGCTACTCAGGAGGCTGAGGCAGGAGGATCACTCAAGCAAGAGTTTGAGGTTGCTATGAGCTATGATGATGCCACGGTACTCTACCCAGGGCATCAGAGTGAGACTCTGTCTTTAAAAAAAGAAAAAAAGAAAGGCTTGGCGCCTATGGCTCAAGAGGCTAAGGTGCCAGCCACATACACCTGAGCTGGTGGGTTCAAATCCAGCCCAGGCCCACCAAACAACAAAGATGGCTGCAACTAAAAAATAGCCAGGCGTTGTGGCGGGTGCCTCTAGTCCCAGTTACTTGGGAGACAGAGGCAGGAGACTTGCTTGAGCCCAGGAGTTGGAGGTTGCTGTGAGCCGTGATACCATAGCACTCTGCCCAGGGTGACAGCTTGAGGCTCTGTCTCAAAAAAAAAAAAGAAAAAGAAACAAAAAAAAAACTTTCAATTTACTTTCAACTCATGGTAAATAATTAAATATTATACTCTTTCACATACATAAAAGAGCTCTGAAAAGCTTACAGTGGAGGAGACATACTCATCATAATTACTATGAAAATGCTGTAACAACCATAAATGCAACATATGTAAAATTTCTTGGGCGGCACATGTGGCTCAAAGGAGTAGGGCGCCAGCCCCATATCCCGGAGGTGGCGGGTTCAAACCCAGGCCCTACCAAAAACTGCAAAAAAAAAAAAATTTTTTTTTCTTAGCACATGAGCAGGTTCCAGCCCCTGCATTAGCTGAACAGGAGAAACCGCTGCCCCTGGCCCCCACACACACAGCTCCTAGCACGGGCTTGCACTTGTTGGGCCCGCACAGAGTTTACTGAGACTGGACATTAGTGCACCCCACGGGTGAGGCAGCCAAGCTATGAAACTCCGCAGGAAGTGACATCAACTACTTTCAGCCCTCCCTGGGCAGCTCCACACTCAGTGGGCGGGTACCAGACACAACAGCTTTCTCCTTGCAGAGGAGACCCCCAGTGCTCTGGCTGTGTTGCCAATGAACGTTATATTCACAATACCGAAGTTTGGGTGAGAAAAGGAGCCTCAAATTTCCATTTTTAAATAAAAAATGCACCAGATCACTCAGTCAATATTTTTAGAGGATTGTTTTTCATCATCCTATTTTTCCTGTTATAAAATCACCAGGGGGATCTCTATTACCAATCAAGGA